CACTTCTTCATCATTCTTAAATCATTACTCATCATATAAATCTGTACTTGAACCGGAAAATATATATCAGAGTTTTTGCTATGATAAAGATCTCTTACGAGTTTTATTTAAATTCAGATGCATGAGTCATAAACTTAAAATTCAACACAACCGTTTTAATAAGGTAAATGCTGATTCCATTAAATGTGATAAATGTAATTGTAATTTGATACAAGATGAGTATCATTTTATCTTAAACTATATTTACCTGTATAAATTGTAAATTGTTCTCCTGACCATGTGCTATATTTTGCTTATTGAATTGTACTTTTGGTCATGTGGCCATAAATACTGAATAAAGCTCTTCTTCTTCTTCTTCTATCCTTGACATAACATATATATCCTTTAAATAGTATTATCCTTTACAAACTTTATATATCCTTCAAGTGTATTGTATATCCTTTACATAAACATCATTATATCCTTTATGTATTATTATATATCCTTTAAATAAACATTATGCATCCTTTATAGAGGATTATATCCTTTATATGAGAATTATATATCCTCACATGAGCATCATATATCCTTTATACGAGCATTATACATCCTTTATATCAGCATTATATATCCTCTCATCACAACTTCGTGTATTGCATCACGCATCGAAACGCACAATTGTGCTTCCACTCGCGACACAATAACACCTGGAGATGCAATTATTCGGTAATGTCAATGTATTTGTATCCGGACGAGTTCTGTAGGAAATGTACTGTCCTACTTGAAGAAGATTCAGTAAGTGAGTTTTCGTTTTACGCCACTTGTAGCAATATTCCAGCAATATCATGGCGTGGGACACCAGAAATGGGCTTTAGACAGTGTACCCATGTTGGGAATCGATCCCGGGTCTTCTACGTGACGAGCGAACGCTTTAACCACTAGGCTACCCCACCGCCCCGAAGACGTTCTATTGTGTACGTATTATCATTTTACACGTATTATTACAATGAGAACGCTGCTTGTTCGCACGATCGCGTAAGAATCTTGCTATTACGGCATCAGATGTTGACGTTGTCAGTAAAACATGTAGCCAAACACCGCTGTGTCGAAGATGAAGGAACGTGACTGAATACCTCGAGTTATCCGATGTTCGACACAACCGATAATGCTGACTAAAAATGGAATACGCAGGACCAAGCTTTAACGAGCGAACGCTTTAACCACTAGGCTACACCACTGCCCTTCGAGTTAACAGAATTCGAGATAACGAGGTTAGACTGCAGGCGGCCCTCACTCACTTACCCGGGATGTCAAAAAAGGGGAATTGGAGTAAATGCGCAATCCTAGATCTTTAGATTGAAGATATTATACATATATCCTTCCAGATAGCTTATCGAAATATTCTTTTGTTAATGTTCTGTGAAGCCGATGCACCATGTGTTACTAGCTGTATCGTAATTGATTGGTGATTATATTTCTCTGAATAGCTTGGACTGAATGAAATCCATCAGAATCATGTTAATAATATCAGGGTCTCATAGCAATACGTCTGGTCACGACATCTGTTGATTAATCTTTAACACCGGGCCAATAGACTCGGTCGACAAGACTCTGTACTTCTCTCTAATTCACATGGACACCTGAATTGTTTTGTTGCCAGAACATGTCCATGTTAATCATCAAGCTTTCCATAATGTCTTTATTAATAATAAATAACAATGTGTCCATTTATATAGCGCCATACTCCACACTAGGTATGCTCATAGCGCTAGTAATGAATAGCACAGCACATTATTACCCCGGATAACCCAAGCTGCCTGTGAGGCGTTAGAAGGTAAATAGTGACTTGTCATATCCCACCGGGTACCCATTTTCTGCTGGGTGAACAGAGGCAATTTTGAACAAGCTCACTTGTCCAAGGTGAGACCACATGTGCTTCGTTGTGGGGCGGGACAGAAGTCCTAGAAACTCTCAAGTGTCAAGCTACCAAACACCCATCCAAGGACTCTCCGCGCTCGACGTTGCTTAACTTTACCTGATTTGTGACCTGAGCTCAATGACCACACGCCACTACATTATTTACCATTGTGTCTAACGTGAAGGCCCTAAGTAGATATTTCGAGTTATGCAAGGTTAGATGATATCCAAAAATGAAGAGAAGGCAAACAAGGGATGAAGTTCGACACAAGTTTTATTTGGCTAATGTAAGCGAGATAGTTGCGCTTTCGATATACTCGTATCACTGTGGTTGTCAATTTAATGCAATTGGAAATCTCTGATGATTCAGTTCAAAGATCGTTAAAGCACGGTATGATGCTACCATGATCAAGTATCACAACTGGGTTCGAAATGTAAAAGGGATTGTAATATCTAAGGGAGATAACCGCTCGAGATAACCATCTTTTAACTGGCTCTGATGGGCAGCCAGTGAAGCACTCTAAGGATGGGTGATATATATGCGCAAACTTTCTAGTTTTGGTAATGATCCTAGCCACTGTGTTTTGGACCATTTGTAGTCGGGATAGATGTCTGTCACTAATGCCCTGCACCAAACTGTTACAATAATCCAGTTTTGATGTTATTAGACCATTGACCAGGGTCTTTGTTGCCTCAGTTGTTACAAGATGCCGTCTTATACATCTTATACTTTGATAAGCCGTTCATTTTGCATTGTTATATGTTTAAAGCTCTACTGTCATTACGTCACAATCGCGTCACATTTACTTGCGTGACGTGGAGTATATTTTTATGGCTTCAAAGTAAAAATGCCTTTTCGCCACATTTAGTAAATATTTGAAGTAATTAACTGTAGTTTACTGACTTGAGCGTCGCTAGAAACTGACTTAAAACTGACGTGAACATTTCAGACAGCAGACTTGAAAGTTATATAAATTGTTATTGACTTGAAATTACATAAATGGTATATATAATTGACTTGAACGTGACTTAAAAAATGATTTGATTTGACTTGCGCGTGAATTCTACCAACACAATATTGTTTCCTTCCAGAACAATAACAACTAGTTACCCTGAGACGCAGTCTTGTTTAGATTCTGGATTACCAAGGACTAAACAGCTAGAAATAAATAACAATCAGGAGGAAATTGTTTTTCAATTATTAATGAAATGCTCCAATTTGAGTTTGTTTCCATGGCGACGCACTAACTGTTTCCGCGTCCAACATTCACCACAATGTGTCAGAATGAAAAACCACGCTTCGGATTTTGTAATGTTGGTGTTTAAGGGAGGATGTCTTAGATTGAAGAGGCGCCCATATGAATGACTGATAGAAATTAAAGCTTGTTTACTTATATTTAGGGTTGACAGTAAGACAAACTTTAGTTGTTAGAGGTTACAATCATGATTAACGATTATGACATAAGTACTGGGAACAAAATTTAAACCACAGAAAATGATGAAAAAAGTAAGCAAACGGTGATAATTATTCCAACAATTGACGATTTCCATGCTCGACCACAGATCGTTACAATCGAACCCAAACCCATCACACGATTCGCACGTCCATATCGTGTGGGCACGTGCAAACAGGGGCAGAAGCGCGTGCTTTCAGGCCTCGTTGACAGTAAAATCCACTTGTAAGAATGCGACGTTTTTTGAGTATTGAAAATCGAAGTCGAGCTATTGGCATGCTCCAGGCGGGTAGTAGCCAACGTCAGGTTGCTGCACATTTTAACGTCGCTCAGAGCGTAATTGGGAGACTCTGGCAGCGGCATTAGTCGACCGGAACTGTTGCTTATGCCCAAAGAGCTGGGCGTCCTAAGGTTATCACACTGAGACAGGACCATTACCTCGTCAACCTTGCTCTACGCAACCGATTTCTGACGTCACGCCAGTTGAGAGATGAACTCTTTAACGCCACCGACGTCCGCTTTAGTCAGACAACAGTAAGAAGCAGGTTACGTTCAGCTGGTCTCCGTTCCTGACGTCCAGCTGTTCGTCCACCATTGACAGCACGTCACCGCCAAGCATGTTTACTATGGTGCACACGTCATCAGCGCTGGAATCAACGTCAGTGGTCCTCAGTCTTTTTTTTACTGATGAAAGCCGGTTTAATGTTTCATTTCGTGAGAATCTACAGACGATGTCGGGAACGTTTTGCAGATGCTACTGTTGTGGCCCATAATCGATTCGGTGGTGGTTCCATAATGGTGTGGGGTGGAATTACAGCTACAGCAGGGACACGATTACACGTTATTGTGGGAAATCTCACTGCACTGCGTACAGAGATGGGATAGTGGCTCCAATTCCGACACCATTCATGACGACCATGCATCACTACATCTAATCTCTGTCCATCTGCTAGGCGTTGAAAGAGAGTGAGTGAGTTTAGTTGGGCTTCACACATTGTACCCATGTGGGGAATCGAACCCAGGTCATCGGCGTGACGAGCGAACGCTTTAACCACTAGGATACCCCACCGCCCCGTTGAAAGAGAGAGTGTTGAATGCATGAGTTAATGAATGAGCATGGTTTGACGCAGTTTTTAGCAATATTCCAGCAATATCATGGCGAGGGAATGGGCTCCACACTATCTATCGAGTAGAAACCAGGTCTTCGGCGTGAACGCCAAAGTGAATGCATATTATGTTTTTACGCAACAAACAGCAATTCTGACAACTGCCTGATAAAAGAGAACGCGCACTTGAACATTTGATTTAACCAAAACATAAAAAATATCACTAAAGTGTCGCCAAAACATCCGGTGCTAACCACAACCATGATATCTGTATCCACCGAAGAAAGATGCGTAACCTCAACCAATTATGATATATGTATATTTGTGTATATGCAACAACCATGATATATCTTCAAATTAAATATATCGAAGAAAGATGTCGTGGTCTCCGTCATCATCAATTATGAAACCTATGTATATTTGTCTTTGTTTTTGAGATGCTCCACAACCTGTCTAAGTAACCAAGAGGTTGATCGCATGAATAACTATCCTTGCACGAGTAGTGTCATCAACCCCCGATATGTAAGGACAATGGAATTTTTACCTGTTACTATGGGGATGTTCCAGAAGCCAGCCAATCGCGCAACGCCGTCCAAAGCATATGCACAAGCCGGACCAACCAGAGCAATGATATTTTCTCTGTAGAACAGATCAGCAGCCACTCCTATAAATAGAAAAAACAAATTAAATTAGAACGACTTTTGATTGTTTTTTTATGATTCCTTTTTGTATTTGTTTTTTTTTGGGGGGGATTGATTTTTTTTTCGCTTCGATTTCCAATTTTCACTTTTGACGAGCAGAAATTCTGTATTCTATGCCAATATATAGAGTTCAGCAAGGGAAGAAGTACAACGATGTTTCCGTAGGGATGGCCACCTCTTTTCATTACACTCTCTCAAGATTTGTTTAAGATATTGATTCTGGGATTATGCCTATAGTCTGTGTTGTTTGCTTGTTGTGTAACGCCGCACTCAGCAATATTTCATCTAAATGGCGGCGGTCTGTAAATAATCGAGTCTGGACCAAACAATCCAGTTATTAACAGCATGAGCATCGCTCTACATAATTGGGATACGGGGACATGTGTCAACCAAGTCAGCGAGCCTGACCACCAAATGCCGTTAGACGCCTCTTACGACAAGCATGGGTTTCTGTAGACCAGACCGCCTCCGTGGTGTAGTGGTTAGAACGTCCCCACGGAGAGCGGAAGGTCGCAGGTTCGATCACCGACCGCGTCATACCAAAAGACGTTAAAATATTGTATTTGTTGGTCCCTGCCTGGCGCTCGGCATTAATGGGTACAACAAGGACTGGTCGGCTCGGAGTCAGTAATCTGTGTCTGAATGGGGTATTCATGCTTCACTGCGGCGTGGTATCTCAGTGAGCTAGCACTATAAAACCAGCTTACGTCTGGGCTAGTACCAGCAGCCGCACATACACATACACACGCATGCACGTCGTCATATGAGCGAAATATTCTCAATCACGACGTTAAACCCAATTTCACCTCACCTCTGTAGACCAATTCTAACTTTTCACGCGTCTCTTTCCTAAATGGGACAAGCAGATAGGTATATAGAATGAGTATAACCCAGACAGCATTACAATAGATCTTTTACATGGCAGTATGTCGTTAAAAGCTATAAACGTGGACTTCGTTTGCTTTCGTCGACCCATTTAGCAGCGAGAATGAACAAAGAGGCTGAATAAGTCACCCGCTATTTCTAGTCATGGTATCGTGCATTTATCTCATTACAGTTTCATTGACAGATAATGGGACGCGTTATTACTTACATCGATATCGTGAAGAAACGTTACATGGAATGAGGACAAAGAGGAATTGCTATGTAATGGTGTTGGGAAAATGCAAATGCTATCTCAGCAGAATGTACACAATATAGCTCAGATTCACACTTTTGTAACAGTATACCAACGATCCAAGAGGCTGTTCTAGGATTGATTGGCTGTATGTTGTTGAACGCCGCACTCAACAATATTCCAGCTATATGGCGGCAGTCTGTAAATAATCGGGTGTGGACCAGACAACCTAGTGATCAACAGCATGAGCATCGACATGTGTAAAACAAGTCTGCGAGTCTGACAATCCGATCCGGTTAGTCGTTTCTTACCACAAGCATGGGTTGCTAAAGACAAATTCTAACACGGGTAAAATATTGACCGTGGTGTTATGTATCTGCACCAGAGATCCTTATCCAACGCTGGAAGAACGCATACAATATTTTGTTAACGGTATGCTTTATGTTTACACATATGACTCCATGTCCTCTCCAAGCTGTGATGACAACACTACCTGTTTAGTGAAAATGTGACAATCGTATGGAATACTGTCAGGGACATTCTCGCGATCTCGTCCTTTGGAATCAAGCTAAAAATGCCAAAAGAGCGAGAATGCGAGATCGCGAGAACGCGAGATTTGGCCAAAATCTCGCGTTCTCGCGATCTCGCATTCTCGTGTTTTTGGTACATAGCACTTTTTTGTCAAAAGTCGATATCGCGAGAATGCGACATTTGTACATGCTGTCAAATCTCGCGTTCTCGCGATCTCGCATTCTCGCACTTTTGGCATTTTTAGCTTGTTTCAAAAGGCCGAGATCGCGGGAATGCGAGATTGCGAGAATGTCCCTTACAGTATTCCATAGAATCGATATTTTTTCAGACAGTACTTTGTTGTTTTCAGCCTCTTGCGCTGAGGTCGAGTATTATTATGACAAAAGTAAACGACGTGTAATAGATTTTCTGCTGGTTGTAGGATATCTAATGAGGTGTCTCCAGTTACGTGTATTTACTTTGAATTTTCAATAATTTCCATATTTGTTTATTGATAGTACAGAAAAGCGTGCAATCAGATGTTAACATGTGCGTAGGTGATTTTACTCTAAAGGTCAGATCAATAACAATTACCATGATATGTTTTCTATCCTGTGTCCTTTTATTGCGGTGTAAGTGGTCAGTAAATATACTGTATTTTGAAATTGATGTACGTTCTCGTATTGACGTGTCTATATTTCTTATGATTAGTTACCAGACTTGTGTGACAATAGGACGAGCGAGTAACGCTGCGGATAACATTATTTCATTAGCTTTGTCAGTTTGATCAGGGGCGGTGGGGTAGCCTAGTGGTTAAAGCGTTCGCTCGTCACGCCAAAGACTCGGGTTCGAATCCCCACATGGGTACAACGTGTGAAGCCCATTTCTGGTGTCCCTGCCGTGATATTGCTGGGATATTGCTAAAATGGGAGTAAAACTAAACTCCCTCTTTTTGATCAGAAGCTCACGTTTGGACTACGTTTGAATCAGTAATACATGAGAGAGTTGGTCGCAGTGCACATTCAACTGAAATGTGAAGTACTTTCATAATGACTAGATGAGAGAGGTGGTCACAGACTCTACATCACCTGTAGTGTGAAGTACTTTCATAATTACCAGATAAGAGAGGTGGTCACAGACTCTACATCACCTGTAGTGTGAAGTACTTTCATAATTACCAGATGAGAGAGGTGGTAACAGACTCTACATTCAACTGAAATGTGAAGTACTTTCATAATACCAGATGAGACAGGTGGTCAAGTGTGAAGTACTTTCATAATTACCAGATAAGAGAGGTGGTCACAGACTCTACATTCAACTGAAATGTGAAGTACTTTCATAATACCAGATGAGAGAGGTGGTCACAGACTCTACATCACCTGTAGTGTGAAGTACTTTCATAATTACCAGATAAGAGAGGTGGTCACAGACTCTACATTCAACTGAAATGTGAAGTACTTTCATAATACCAGATGAGAGAGGTGGTCACAGACTCTACATCACCTGTAGTGTGAAGTACTTTCATAATTACCAGATAAGAGAGGTGATCACAGACTCTACATTCAACTGAAATGTGAAGTACTTTCATAATACCAGATGAGAGAGGTAGTAACAGACTCTACATCGCCTGTAGTGTGAAGTACTTTCATAATTACCAGATAAGAGAGGTGGTCACAGACTCTACATCGCCTGTAGTGTGAAGTACTTTCATAATTACCAGATGAGAGAGGTGGTCACAGACTCTACATCACCTGTAGTGTGAAGTACTTTCATAATTACCAGATGAGAGAGGTGATCACAGACTCTACATCACCTGCAGTGCGAACTACTTTCGTAAGAACAAGACGAGAGAGGATGTCACAGATACTCTATCGCCTGCATCAAGAACTACTTTCATCACAACGAGATTGCATAGTACTGATTGCCTTTATCGGATTGCAGATGCCAATCAGGTAAAGCAAAAATTAGCCACGCACACCGGAAGTCTGTCAGGATATTGAAAATCATACTGGCTAATTTCCACGCGAAATTACAAAACGTTAATGCATTAGCCTACGGCAATAACACCTTGTACACAGAACAGAACAGTTCAATTTATGCCTGGCTGTGGAACTTAGTGAATGTTCACGTCAAGCTCAGCACCGGAAACCGACATTTTATGATTTGTTCTTGAAGGCCACGTTCTCAGCTATTTCTGTTTCATTCAGCACTGGCCATTTACTGAAAGGTAGTGGACAACTGCCATTGATTTCTGTCTCCGTTATTGCAAACGGAGTGGTCAGTTTTTGGCTGGAGACAGATCAAGTCAATACGATGCCTAGGTGAGGTGAGGTGAAATTGGGTTTAACGTCGTGATTGAGAATATTTCGCTCATATGACGACGTGCATGCGTATGTGTATGGCCGCTTGCTTGTACTAGCCCAGACGATAGCTGGTTTTATAGGGCTAGCCCACTGAGATACCATGCCGCAGTGAAGGATGAATACCCCACTCAGACACAGTATACTGACTCCGAGTCGACCAGTCCGTGTTGTACCCATTAATGTCGAGCGCCAGGCAGGGACCAACAAGTACCATATTTTAACGTCTTTTGGTATGACGCGGTCGGGGATCGAACCCGCGACCTTCCGCTCTCCGGGCGGACGCTCTAACCACTACACCACGGAGGCGGTCCATACGATGCCTAGGACTTCAATGTACATGTATGTAGGGGGCGGTGCTTTCTCCAACGTTAAAGGGTCGTTGGGGTAGCTTACCCCGTGATATTGCTGGAATATTGCTAAAGTAGGCGTAAAACTAAACTCACTCACTCACTCCACATACATATTTGTCTTCCGCTTCATCATGCTGAATTACTTCAGCTGATAAAGTAGGATCTATGAAGACAACGTTGATTTCAGCTTCTGTATTCTTACAAGGTAGCCATACTGAAATCAACGTCATCAACGTTTTGATACATTTCGTTATTACTACAGCTTCTAAAATATCACCGGAATATAAATTAGGAGCAGTTTTGTATTAATTTCTAAAATGTATAATCTCTAATGACAATCGTTTACCGATTTCTTCATTATGTTTACGAATCACACTCGTACAAACTACAAATGATAAAGATGACGTTAGTGTGGGAATATAGTTTCACGCCACATCAGTGAAAGTCCAGCAATGCCACACCATAATCGGCTTTACAGATTGTTGGAAATCGAACCCGGGCCTCAGACGAGACGAGAGAACGCTTTGACCTCTGGACGATCCAGGCGTCCATTATTCGTGAGAAGATGCAAAATTTACATTTAGTACATTACCATTCGTTCGTTCATTTGTTTGTCTGTATGT